ACAAGTTCAGGGACCTTGCCGACCACATACCGGAGTATGCTTGTGATGAAAACCGAATGGTGAATCACTTTTGGGAGGCTTTGGACCTGGAGATACGTGATAGGGCGACTCAATTGCCCAACATGACTTTCAGCCAAGTGGTCGCCCAAGGGTTGAAGGGAGAAAAGCAATGGGAGGAGAGAAAGAAGAGAGACGCCGAGGAGGCGAAGAAAAGAAAGTGGGAAAGCCATGGCCCCCAGGGTTCTAACAAAAAGGAGAACCATGGGGGGGGAGGATCATTTAGGGCACCGGCACCGCCATCTAGGGGAAGCTCAGGCACGGGTGGACAAAACTCGGGCTCGCAAGCCCCAATGATGATTAGATGCAGGAACTGTAACAGGAACCATGGTGGTAAGTGTCGTGACCCTCCTCGGTGCTACCAATGTGGAGATACGGGGCACATTAAGCCAAACTGCCCTCAACTTGGTGGGAACCGAGGGGCGGGATCGAGTGGCGCTACTACGGCAAGTAGGAACCGGACTGGGGCACCTCATGCTAGTACGGGGCAAGGGGGAGCGAGCACGAGCAACGCGCCGTCCGTGAATCAAGGGAGGACTCAAGCTAGAGTCTATGCAATGACCGAGGCTGACGCTCGGGCTAATCCCGACTCCGTTGCAGGTAATCCTTTGTAACAATTGATAAATTACATGTTTTGAGTGCTAAGAATGATAGCGGTTTTGTACGGGCTCGCCGGGACCGATATCGGTCGGTTTCTTAGCAAAAAGTTGCAAAAATAAGCTGCCCAGGGGTAAACCGGCGCCGGTCAAGGCTTAAACCGGCGCCGGTTCTAATTAAAAACCTTCGTTTTGAGGTCGCCGTGGGTAAACCGGCGCCGGTTTTGGCCCATAACCGGCGCCGGCCAAGGGTCGGGGAGGCTTAGCTAATAATTTTTTTTTTTCCCGGGGGACGCCGTAGCAAAACCGGCGCCGGTTTTGGCCATAACCGGCGCCGGTCTAGGGGAAAGGGGGTCGGAAAAGATCGCCGTGCTCGTAACCGGGGCCGGTTTTGAAGAAAAACAAGTTTTCGAAGATGCCGAAGGTAAACCGGCGCCGGTTTTGGCCATAACCGGCGCCGGTCCAGTTAATTTTGGGAGTATCCGGCCACCCCGAAGGCAAACCGGCGCCGGTCTTGCCTAGAACCGGCGCCGGTCCAGTGTATTTTCACCCGAAATGTTTTGTTAAGCCCCGTTTCGATCCGGTACGTTGAGTGGTGTGTCTTACATGACTTATATATGTAGGAACATTAAAGATCAATGGTAGAAACGCAAGAATTCTCATTGATACCGGGGCACAACGTTCATTCGTGAGTGAAGCGTTTGCCGAAAGTTTAGACGTGCCGTTGATAGTAATGACACAACCCTTGTTGGTCTCTACACCGTTGGGAGACGATGTGGAGAGGAAACACTATTATCCTTCGTGTGAGGTAGAAGTGACGGGTCAACCTTTGACTTGTGACTTCGTACCTCTAAGTATGTTAGAATTCGATGCAATTCTAGGGATGGATTGGCTCGAGAAACATCATGCTCGAGTGGATTGTTATGCCAAGGTTTTGGAACTCGAGGATGCTGAGGGAAACACTCTACGTTTCGAGGGAGATCGGGGAGGATCTCATAGTTGCATAATATCCGTGATGAGGGCACGGAAGATGATGAAGAAGGGATGCAACGCATACCTTGCTTACGTGGTGGATGAAGCAAAGAAGGAGGTTGACATCAACGATGTACGTGTCGTGTGCAAATATCCGGATGTCTTTCCCAAAGACTTGCCGGGGCTTCCACCCGACAGGGAGATCGAATTCGTAATTGAAGTGGAGCCGGGAACCAAACCCATTTCGATTCCTCCTTATCGAATGGCACCGGCCGAGCTTCAAGAGTTGAAGGTTCAACTTCAAGAGCTATTGGACAATGGGTTCATTAGGCCCAGTCATTCACCGTGGGGAGCACCCGTACTCTTCGTTAAGAAGAAAGATGGCACACTGAGAATGTGTATAGATTACCGACAGTTGAACAAGGTCACGATCAAGAACAGGTATCCTTTACCTAGGATTGATGATTTGTTTGATCAACTTCGAGGGGCGACAATATTTTCGAAGATTGATTTGAGGTCGGGGTATCATCAATTGAAGATAAAGGAGAGTGACATACCTAAGAGTGCATTTCGCACTAGGTATGGACACTACGAGTTTTTGGTGATGTCATTTGGTCTAACCAATGCACCAGCGGCATTCATGGACATGATGAACCGTGTGTTCAGTGAATACTTAGATCAATTTGTGATAGTATTCATTGACGACATTTTGATATACTCCAAGAGTGAAGAGGAGCATGAAGATCATTTGAGTCTTGTACTTGAACGACTAAGGGAAAAACAACTATTTGCCAAGTTCTCTAAATGCGAGTTTTGGCTCAAAGAGATTGGGTTTCTCGGGCATGTCGTGTCAAGTTCGGGCATTTCGGTGGATAAAGCCAAGATAGAAGCCATTATGAATTGGGGGAGACCCAAAAATGTGAAAGAGATACGTAGTTTCCTTGGCTTAGCGGGATACTATCGTAAGTTTGTTGAAAAATTCTCTGTATTGGCGTCTCCATTGACAAAGCTCACAAAGAAAGGGGCCAAGTTCATATGGGACGACAAGTGCGAAACAGGGTTCCTTGAACTAAAGGAACGGCTTACAGAAGCACCGGTTCTCGCTCTACCCACACAAGGGATAGGGTATGATATATACGGCGATGCTAGCATCCAAGGGCTTGGATGTGTACTCATGCAGAACGGTCGGGTGATTGCCTATGCTTCTAGGCAATTGAAGAAACACGAGGCGAACTACCCTACCCACGATCTAGAGTTGGGGGCGGTAGTGTTTGCACTAAAGATTTGGAGGCATTACCTCTATGGGGAGACATGTCACATTTTGAAAGAGTTGAATACTCCGGCCACTACTTCTGGTGATAGTCGATGATCAAGTCATAGTCCTTGATCAGCTCCATCCACCTCATTTGTCTCATATTCAACTCCTTCTGAGTGAATACATACTTCAAGCTCTTATGATCGGTGTAGATGTGACATGTCTCCCCATAGAGATAATGTCTCCAAATCTTCAATGCAAATACTACTGCCCCCAACTCTAGATCGTGGGTAGGGTAGTTCACCTCATGTTTCTTCAATTTCCTAGAAGCATAGGTAATCACCCGTCTGTTTTGCATTAGTACACATCCAAGTCCTTGAATGCTAGCATCGTTGTATATATCATACCTTATCCCTTGTGTGGGTAGGGCAAGAACTGGTGCTTTGGTAAGTCATTTCTTTAGTTCAAGAAATCCTTCCTCACACTTCTCGTCCCATATGAACTTGGCCCCTTTCTTTGTGAGCTTTGTTAAAGGAGACGCCAACACAGAGAATTTCTTAACAAACTTACGATAGTACCTCGCTAAGCCAATGAAACTACGTATCTCTTTCACATTTTTGGGTCTCTCCCAAACCATAATGGCTTCTATCTTGGCTTTATCCACCGCAATGCCCGAACCGGACACGACATGCCCGAGAACCCCCATCTCTTTGAGCCAAAACTCGCATTTAGAGAACTTTGCAAAGAGTTGTTTTTCCCTTAGCCGTTCAAGTACAAGTCTCAAATGGTCGTCATGCTCCTCTTCACCTTTGGAGTATATTAGAATATCGTCAATGAATACTATCACAAATTGATCTAAGTATTCACTAAACACACGGTTCATCATGTCCATGAACGCCGTCGGTGTGTTGGTTAGACCAAATGACATCACCAAAAACTCGTAGTGACCATATCTAGTGCGAAATGCACTCTTAGGTATGTCACTCTCCTTTATCTTCAACTGATGATACTCCGACCTCAAATCAATCTTCGAGAATAATGTTGCCCCTCGAAGTTGATCAAACAAGTCATCAATTCTCGGTAAAGGATACCTATTCTTGATTGTGACTTTGTTTAACTGCCGGTAGTCGATACACATTCTTAGTGTGTCGTCCTTCTTCTTTACGAAGAGTACGGGCGCCCCCCGGTGAATGACTGGGTCTAATGAACCCGTTGTCCAATAGTTCTTGAAGTTGGACCTTCACTCTTGAAGTTCAGCTGGTGCCATTCGATAAGGAGGAATCGAAATGGGTTTGGTTCCCGGCTCCACTTCAATTACAAACTCTATCTCTCTATCGGGTGGAAGTCCCGGTAAGTCCTTTGGGAAGACGTCCGGATACTTGCACACGACACGTACATCTTTGATGTCAACTTCTTTCTTTGTGTCGTCTACCACGTATGCGAGGTATGCGTGGCATCCCTTCTTTATCATCTTCCGTGCAATTGCATTAGGCCACAATGACATGGGCAAATAAATCTTCTATTAAGGCATTGCTACTAAAAGACATCCTGAAATTATACAATAGAAACATACTCAATTCTTAATAATGAGTTAAAACATCAATTTAACAAACCCTTATATGAACAATAAAAAATAAACCAGTGGCCATCAATTTAACAACCCCTGATATGAACAATAAAAAAGAAACCAGCAGCCATCTTTGATTCTAAAATTCTAGAATTCATTAATAAATTTCTTTTACTGCACACAATTGAATCAATAAAAACATGTACTAAGCAGGAATTCAGACATACTAGTATCATTTATCCTTACCTATTCTGTAACACCCCGATTTTTACGAGCTAGTTATATTAATCATCATTATATATTTTAGTCAGCTAAATAAGTTACTTGTGTGAATAATGTGATATTTTGTTTTCAAGTTTTGTCTGTGGCAGGTAACGTTGACTAGTAAGCTCTAACATTTTCAAGTGAAGAAATAATCGATAGTATATATTTTATTAGTATAGTATTAAGAGGTAGAATATAATAATTCGGTTGGGTAAGATTCAATTTATTTAGAAGGTTAAGAGACCTAAATCAATTATCTTGGCCCAGATCAATATTGTAACCAAAAACCCTAGAAAGAAATACTTATACGTCATTTAGAAATTCCCTGGAGTAGTTAAGTTATATTCCTTTTCTTCCGTAAGCATCCGTTGGTCCTTGTTCTTCCTTTCGGAAATTTTCATCTCACCCAATTCACCACATTTAAGAACAAAAATCTGGTATGTTAGAATTTCCCTTTCATGGCATCCTTTCTTCTTATCTTTCAATTGGCACACATTAGTAATCGTTTTGTCAATTCAGTTGCTTTTGCTAGAGAGTGGTGTGACTGAAAAGTTTTCAGCCAAAATGGTTTTGTTTTAGTTAAACAAATTAGGTCGATTCGAGTTTAAGTGGATGTTTTTTTTTGGTGTTTGAGTAATTTAAATAAGTTATAATCTGAATGGCTTGAATCTAGCAACTTCCTTCCTAAATCAGAAGAACCATATGCATCAACGTTGTAAGAATGCTTTGTAATAAAAAAAAATGATTCTTTATGTGCAAGACTGCTGCTGCTGTTTCACTTCGATTTCAGAGAAATAATTATTACTTCTTAATTCTCAAGTGTTAAACTATATAATCCCTTGAAAAAAAAGGTTTATTCAAAGCATCTGAAGTGAATTTTATTGAATACGATTAGCTAATCCACGAAGTATTAAACCATTTTTCAAATTGGAGTTCAAAATTTTAAACCTTCTAGTATGCTTTGTTTAATCAAAATTCATAAATCTTGAACTCTAATTTAAGGCATAGTGAGCTCCAATTATACCCGTTTTTACTACGGTTGATTTCCTCAATTGATTTAAGTTTAGCAAGGTCAACTAAATTTTTTCCTTCGGGTTAGTATGTCTAGTAGAAATTAAAGCCTTAGTCGTATAGCCAACTTTCGCACCCTGGCATACTCTTATTTTATAATTACATTTAATTAAAGATTATCAAGGAAGAGCTTACCAGAAGACGTTATCAAGGTGTCACACTTATCTAAGTATTTTGAGTTCAGCTTCTTACAAGTAAGTTCACTGCCACCTGTACATGTTTGTTCAACCAAATAAAAGGAAGAAGTCTGGTTGATTTTTAATAGATGATTTTAGTCTATTTGCTATTATGTGAACTTGGTAAGTTATTTGTTGAGTTATTTTATTTGCTATATTAAGTTATGATTATTATCTGGCATAGTCAAGAGTTTGTCAATATTTTTATTTTCTGATTTAATGATGTTTTTATCCAAACGTCACTATAAAAAGAACTAATACTTAAAGTGAAAGATTAAGTGATATGTACTCGGGAACAAGTTCCACAGAGTTATCAGTTATCAGTTTCAGAGAGTCCGATATGTTTAGTGGGTCGCTCCCCTGAGCTGTCGGATTGGCGCCTTTGAGTACATATCACGGGCCCACAGAGTAAAATTAGTCACAAAGAGATTTACAGAAAGTTTAATGAGATCTCATTCAGAAAGTTTTACAGAAAGTTGTTTGTGAGATCTCTTTTTCAGAAAGTTTTACAGAAAGTTGTTTTTGAGATCTCATTCAGAAAGTTTTACAGAAAGTTGTTTTTGAGATCTCTTTCAGAAAGTTTTACAGAAAGTTGTTTTTGAGATCTCTTTCAAAAAGTTTTACAGAGATGTTTTGAGAATGAAATTTTGAGATCTCTCCAGCATTTTTGAGAAATTATTTTAGAAAATATTTTCCTTTTGAGGTCTCACTCAGAATGTATTTGAGAAGTTATGTGATAGTTATTTGTCCAGTGCATGCTTATAGTCTAAATTTATCTATTGATAAATTGGCATAGACTTCTAGATATTTTTGTGGATCCATAGTGACTTACTAAGCGTAAAGCTTATCAGTTTTCTTTCTTCGCATGTACAAATATACTAAGGGTAAGGCCAATGCCTAGGAAGATGATGAGGGAGTGGAACGCGTGCCAAGATGAGTTAACGGGAACGACCTTGGCAGCTTGTTGCTAGATATTATTTTGCTTCAGTATTTAGGTGTTATAATAAAGAGATTATTATTATTTTATTTTATTTAAGGATTTGATGTTTGAATAAATTCCTGGATCCAGGTTGTTATCACACTTGCTAGTGATAACTATATTTTATTAAATTTTTATTTGGAGTTGTTTTAGTTACTTTTGAGATTTTATCAGAGTTATTTTCTTAAATAGACGGCTGTTATGTTGCAGTTATTTTTAAGAGTAGTAAGTCAGTGTAACGTTCTCTTTAACCCTGAGAGGGGCGTTACATATTCGTACATATCATTTATTCGTATCTACAAAGGGACGCATATGGATTTAACCAAAATCAAAATAATTGAAAAGGGGTCAAAATCATATAACAATAACATCAGCTGATCTATTTAAGTTAAGATAACAAAACCAGGTAAAAATTTAAAAACGCCCCTTTCAGTTTTAACAAATACGGGAATGTGAGAATTTAAAATATGTTCTTAATCCAAAGCACTTGAATGTGATTTTACGCAATTTAAAAAGTTTAATTTACCATGGAATCGACTGATTTTAGGCGTAGAAGGAGAATGAATGTTTACCTGATCGAGTGGATGCAGGTAGTGTTGGGAATAACAGGATCGTGCTAATATGAGAGAAAAACACTTCTATTACTTTCAAGAATAGAAAGAAGAGACATATAAGCTCTAACTAAAAACTCTCAAAAACAACACCTCACATATCTCTCAAGGATATTCACAACTCTTCTTGGTTGTGCTATGATGATCTATTCTAATTTACTTGATGATATAAAGACTCTCCAAGCTCTCTATTTATAGCACCAAAACTAGGTACTAGGAAGGTGGAAGGAAGATGTGTTGAAGCTAGGAGGAAGCTTCAATGGAGGTGTGGGGAAGGTGGTTCTTTGGTGTGAAGAAACTTCCCTTGTCATTCTTGCACATGGGGGAAGTTACATGGAAACTAGAAATTGGATTCTTCAATTGGCTTCTATTTGGATATGTCCTCAAAATTGAATTCTTCAATTCTCCCCTTCCAGGCATATTCAAAACAAGCATCCCAACTATGTCTCTGCATAGCTCTAGCTTATCTCGTGTCACCACCTTCGTCAGCATGTCTGATGGATTCTCCTTAGTGTTGATCTTCACTAGTCTCAACAGTTGTTGATCAATCGTCTCCCGTATCCAGTGATATCGAACACCAATATGCTTTGTACGAGAATGGTACATGGAGTTCTTGCTCAAGTCTAGAGCACTCTGACTGTCACAATGTACCTTGTACTCTTTCTGTTGGATCCCAAGTTCTTGGAGAAAGCGCTTTAGCCACAACATTTCCTTACCTGCTTCAGCGGCAACAATGTATTCTGCTTCTGTTGTAGATAAAGCGACACACTTCTGCAATCTTGATTGCCAAGAAACAGCTCCTCCTGCAAAAGTGTAAATATATCCTGAAGTGGACATTCTACTATCAGTATCTCCGGCCATATCAGCATCTGTGTAGCCTTCCAAGACAGGATCAGCTCCTCCGTAACAAAGACATAACTTCGTGGTACCTTTCAAGTACCTGAGAATCCATTTGACTGCCTCTCAATGCTCCTTCCCGGGGTTAGAGAGAAAATGGCTCACTGTACCCACTGCCTGTGCGATGTCTGGCCTTGTGCATACCATGGCGTACATCAAACTCCCAACTGCTGAAGAATATGGAACTGCTGACATCTCCCCGATCTCTTCCTTGGCGGCGCGTACGGCAGCTTCCGGTGGCCAAAAAAATCCCCAAAAATACCAGTTTTCTCGTCTCGACGAGACGAATCCAACGGTATATTCAGATTGCAATTCCAAGCAATACTGAAAAACTCGATTTTTTCAGGCAGTAGAATTTTGTCTGGAAAAAATCTGGGAAAAATATCAAAAGCTCAACCAGGCTGTGATACCACTTGTTGGGAATAACAGGATCGTGCTAATATGAGAGAAAAACACTTCTATTACTTTCAAGAATAGAAAGAAGAGACATACAAGCTCTAACTAAAAACACTAAAAAACAACACCTCACATATCTCTCAAGGATATTCACAACTCTTCTTGGTTGTGCTATGATGATCTATTCTAATTTACTTGATGATAGAAAGACTCTCCAAGCTCTCTATTTATAGCACCAAAACTAGGTACTAGGAAGGTGGAAGGAAGGTGTGTTGAAGCTAGGATGAAGCTTCAATGGAGGTGTGAGGAAGGTGGTTCTTTGGTGTGAAGAAACTTCCCTTGTCATTCTTGCACATGGGGGAAGTTACATGGAAACTAGAAATTGGATTCTTCAATTGGCTTGTACTTGGATATGTCAGGAAAATTGAATTCTTCAGGCAGGGCTGAACACAGAGATCCTTCGAAGAGAATAGCACGCTAGAGTAGAAGTTTAATCGTTAGGAATGAACAATTGAAAGGCGGCTTAAATTATCGATCAAAGAAGAGGCGCCTTAAACTATCGATCGAAGAAGAAGAGTTCAGAGCGGAACGCCTTTTAATCGTTAGGGCTGGAGGATGTTTGGCGTAAAAGGAATATATGTTTTATCTTTTTAATGACTGGGCCATCTCCACCGTTTAACAAATCTGATGGCTCATATTGTCTTGGCCGGATGAGAAAGTGGTGTGGACGGATGTATGAGAAAAGCACTTATATATGTTACTTAGAGGGAGAGTTGTAAAATAATTTGCATGCTTTTTATAAACACTACAACGACTTTGCGTGAAAAGAAAAAATACACATCTAGATAAACAATACAATCTATTTTACAAAGTGATTGATTCTTAAATTTTGTACGCAATCATTTCAAATGCAAAACTTAAATTTGTAAACTAACAAACAAACCCTTAAGTAAGCTTGATCACCAACATACTAATTAATCCGTATTAAACAAACTTGGTTTATTAGTTCTTGACTCAAAAGTCAAAATTTCACGATCAATGTCCGGTGTAAAACAAAGGGGATGAAGGGCAATTAAGTTACGACTTCCACCGTATAAATAAACTTTTCTTTTGAAAGCATAAATAAACTAGATCAGTAAAACAAAGGGGTGAAGGGTAATTAGATTTTGTTTTTGAAAGATAATTAGAATTTTTATAAACTACGTAGAACATTATTAGTGTTCCAAAGTGGAAGAATATATACTAGGGTTTAACCTTGTCTTTCTCTTTCATATCTGGAATTTGAAAACTATGCACTCGTGAAAATTATCAAATTTGGGGAATTCAATTTCATGTCTACCTGTTGAGATCTTCTAAGCTTCAGCTACTCGGTGAGCATGTAATCGTAATCGTTACAATTGTTTTGCAAAACTTTTCATGGGTATTTACGTGTACGTGCGCTTTAGTTTTTCCTTATACTTTACTTTAAGAGATATGGTGTGGTTCGCATTGAATATTGATGCCACACATGTTATTGTTCAGTTCAGGGTCGAATTATCAGTTTCACGGCTTAGTTTGGTTAGGATGTGATGTTAGGGAACTCATTAGCATGGCTTTGTTGCATTGCATTTGGCAAATTCTTTGTCTGTTTGAAGGGGTCGTGTTTCTGTTGCGAATGAAAATTATTATTATTCGTATTACTTTTTATTGGAAGTAATGTCAAATAAGCATAGAAATTCCTTTGCTTGCTGGAAGTATAAGGAAACGTATGTTATGGGTCATAGTAAAATCTGATATATTTCTAGTTTAGGTCTGTACTTTCATTGATTTATCTTTTGAATTTGCCCTAACCTGGAATTTTGCTCGTCTATTAGTTATTATGTCATCATGTTTTTCTTTCTATTAATATCTCTGTTTCAATGGCTTTCCAAATTCCAATGCATGTAAAATGGTTTTTCCCCCATCATTTTCGTCTCTGTGTGTGCACAAGCATTTGCGCTCTGAATTGTAGATCTTTTTATTGTTCTATACATTGGCAAACCTCACACGCATTCTTTATCCCCTGTTTCAGATGGACAATTATGCATTTGATTCAACGATTTGCTTGTGCAATATATTTATGCATGGCCCTGATGTTATTAGTCAGAGGTAGTGTCCCTATTGAAGTTTGTCTTTGAGATGTCTGCTCGAGGTAATAATGGTACTCAGGCTGGGCAGGTAGGTCATACTTCTGGACCCGCACAACACTTGCCACCTCCTCCTCCCCCTCCTCCTATACACCCTCCACCACCACCTCCTCCTCCTTTTCCCCAGAATGCCCTTTCTGCTCCAACAGGACCTTTAATGCAGAGTAGTCTTCAACTACTTGAATCATCAGCAGTTCATCCCAACCCGCTTGTATATCAGCATATCCACAGTGGTGCAACTCGGAATTTCCGACCTCAACAACTTCCAACTAGTGGAAACCATTCCAGTCAATCTTGTTTGATACCCAATGTGCCTCCCCTCCCTCCACCTGTCCAACTCCATCAAAGTTCTATCATGTCCAACTCCTATCAAACTTCCTTATGGAGTTCACAGTGGACTCCAAATGTGCATCATAATCTGCCTGCAAGTGCTCCAAGAGCTCCTAGAGTGTTTCCCCAACCACCCCCACCTCAAATACAAATAGAAACACCAACACAATATGGAGGTTCAGGCCAGATGTTGTTACCAGTACCTGGTAACGGTCAGGCAGTCCAACATGCAGCACTGTCTGACCTTAAGAGCACTGTTTTTTCACCATCACCACTTAGGACATCAAGTGGTCCACTTCCTCCTCCACCCCCATCTTTTCCTGCAGAAGCCCCACCGATTCCAGAATCTATTTCACCCACTACTTTTCCTGCCACTTCAAATTCAGCACCTATGGAGAAGTATTGTAGTTTGCCCAATAAGTTAGAAAGAAGTTCCGGCACGTCTACAAGTATTGTTATTGATGGAATAGCCTCTGCCTCAGAAAGTTATAGCTTATCTTCAGTTTGTATGAATGAAGGCCCCCAAGAAGAAGCGGAAGGAACCAGACACACAGTACATTTGTCAGTAAGTGAGAATCTAATATTGGATTTTGCTACTTCGTCCCCTAAGCATCTTGATAGAGAAACACTACAAAACTGTGATGTTTTGGATGTTCATGCTTCTTCCCCTAAGCCCCCCAATGGGGAAATGTCTAACAAAAGTGATGATCATGGAGATTACAACACATCAAGGGGGGTATCAGAAATGTGCTCTTCGCTCCAATCCATTGACTCAGTAGATGCTGGTGTGTCCTATTCCCCTACCAATTCTGATATGGAAATGGAAGGTCAGTATATTGGCTTGTTTTGATATGCATTACATTCACCATTATTCACATCTTCTGTTGGTTTGCTTAGTTAGGTATGATAAGCCTGCCCAATTTGGGATGTAGGGACCATTTGGTAACTGATGGTTCCATATTTCCAATGCACTTCAATTTTATATCTACACTCTCTTGTTTTCTTAGATAACTCGCCTGAGACTGGCTGATTCTGAATCATGCCTTCTATTATTGAGCCTTGAACTGTTGGTCTAGAACCGGAACCAAACTTGGTTACTCCTACAATTCAATATTTTCTATTATGCATACATCACGAGAGATGTAGTTGGGTTATTGATGTTGATGGGGTCTTTATTTTTCATTGTAACGTGGAAGCATTGTGAAAAAAAGTCAATAAACAGATAAGTCTCTATGTTGAATGTTTGTGCCTCTGATAGTCTGATCACACTCTTCCACTTTCCTGTTTCTTTTTATGTATCTCATTGTTAACCATTTTGCAATTCCCAAATGTGTCCTGGGCACTACGGTCATTGTTTTTACCTGTTAGTGAAGACCTATTTTGACCTTATCATGTTAAAAAAATTGTAATTTCTGCCACCCATTGTAAATCATTTAGAGTGAGAATGTAGTGTTTCTCATGGCTTTATGTTTTTTGATTGAGGAGTGATCTAATTTTGACTCTCAGTCTCTCAACTTCTCAAGTCTTTCCTTTGGAATTCTGAGGCAATATTTTTCTGTGTCTTTTCAGATGATATCACACATCCAGATGAGGAACATAATGTTTACTCATTTTGCACTCCATATCAGGAGTGTATTTCTCTACAAAATAAACTTTTCGTCGAGGAGAAGTTCCAAAAAGAAGCAAGCACAGCTGAATGTGGCTTAGCAGGAGACACAGATGAAGACCGACAAGGTGCCAAACATTTGTTTACTTTATTTCAGGATTTTCATATATTGCACAGCAGAAGTCTCCATTCGAGTCTTTCAATGTATCTTCCCCCCTAAATGCTGAAGTAAATCTTCTTTGGCAATCTCTAGACTCTAGTATAGTACCCATTCAGTCCATCTTGTATAATTACTTGGTTTCAATGGCGATCAGGGACGGACCCACCTTGTGTCCCACGTGTCCCGGGACTCCACAGATGTCTAAAAAACCACATGAGTAATGTGCCTGTCAGGCCTTCGGAACCGCCGTTCGGCTGCCTCCATTTGAGATGCTTCTTCCCGGTGGAATTTGTTGATGGAATTTTGTATGCGTGTTCTTGATTACGTTTAGATTATGCCCACCAAATTTCACTTTAAAATTCAATCGGGAAGTCACTTAAATAAACTATCGAAACACTGTGCCAATATATATATAAAGCGCAGTGTTTCTCAATAATTTATTTAACTTCCTTTTCCTTAGTGATTGAATTTTAATCTGAAATTTGATGGACATAAACTACACTTCATGAAGAACATCACAAAATCTCATCAAACAATTCTACCCAGAAGCACCTTAAATGAAGGCGACAGGACGGCGGTTCCAGTGAGGAAGGCCTGGCAGGATTTCTCAAATATATATTATATATAAAACTAACCAAATTAATGTGTATATATAATACTATGAGTGAACTAAAGAATGAAGTGGAAGCTATTGCATTCAAACAATTTCCGCTTTGCACTTTTGGTCATATACATTGCACTAATGCATTCAAAAGTGCACTATTGGAATGTTTTTTTATTTACTTACAAAAATGTCACCACATTTTGAATCAATTTTAATGCATCGTTGGCATATTTCAAGCCATTATATATCACAAATCTGATGCACTGAATTTATTTTTGTTTTTCATGGGAAAAACACTTTTATTTGAGCCACATTCTATGTATATATATGGAGTAGCATTCATATCAGGTCGGCCTGGCAGGAATCAAGCAGGCCAACTTCATTTTTTCCGAATATAAAGTTTATGATTCATTTTTTTATTCATTAGTATCAACTTGTAGTTGCAACTGTTCAATCATCAAAATATTTAAAATTATAAGAGCTTAAATTTTATTTTTATGATGAGTTGATATAAACCGTTTTAGTTTTAGATGTGAAGAAGTGAGCTTGAAGGGTCTACATTTGAACAAAATTAAGATCTAGCTGTTGAAACTAATAGTTGATACTAATGAACAAAAAAATTAGACTATAAGTTTCATTTTCGACCAAAATGAAGTTGGCCTGACTGGATTCCCATCAGGCCGGCCTGACGCCGAACACTACTCTATATATACATAGATTGTGGCTCAAATAAAATTGGAATTTGGAATATAAACTTCATTCATCTCCATTTCTGCATACCCTTATGAATTTTCATATTGATCTTGTGCTATAGCCAAGGCGTCATCTCCTAGACTCGATGAGTCGGTTACTAGTTCAATTAGAAGTGCTGCAGAAATACAAGAATCTTCTTTACATGAATGTTTGGGCAAAGCTAATCCCGTGTTGGGTTTGGGAATATGTACTACTCAGCTTGCTGATGGCCCTGGTCCATTTAGTCTTATCCAAGGCTATTCATCTGATGACTGTTTAGACAATGATAATAATGATGAGTTCCAGATTGAAGTGAAAACCATAGTGAATTATGATGCTGGTAAATCACCCGAGTGTCCTGCATCACGAAGAGTGGTTAGTGAAACTGATACAACATGCAACTTTTTAGGGCATGGTGAAGAGAATCCTCCAAGAGATTCTGACACAAATACCACTTTAGATATTCTTGATTTCCTAAGGGAGGAGGATGTGAAAAAAACATCTGCTTTGGTGAAGATTGATGAGTTTGGTAGACTAGCCAGAGAAGGGAAAAGTGACAGTGACTCTGGGAGGGATTCACCGCGTTACGGAAGGACTCGAGGTAAAAGAGAAAAGAGCCAGAGTCAAATCTGTTCTCCATATAAAAGGAGGCGGAGTCCAAGGCGGAGTCCAAGGCGGAGTCCAAGGCGGAGCCCAAGGCGGAGTCCAAGGCGGAGCCCAAGGCGGAGTCCAAGGCGGAGCCCAAGGTGGAGTCCAAGGCGAAGTAAGGATAGGCGCAGATCGTCTAGGAGGTAATAAAATTAAATTGTATTACATGACGTTCTTGATTGATTTCTTGCCACTGGGTCGTGTTATATTTTCTGTATTTTTCTTTATATTCTCAGTGTATCTCCAAAGAGACGCAGAAGTAGGAGCAAGTCCCCTTTTAGGCATGAATTTTGCAGTAATGATAAAATGAGAAGGGGAAAACTTCACCTTTCCGAATGCTTGGACTTCAAGAGAGGCAAATGCAACCGTGGAGCTTCATGTCGGTATTCCCACCATAGTTCTGATAATAAAAGCGACAGATCTCAATCTTACTGGAGTAGGGAGCAGCATCAGCTCCACTTACCTAGTTCAAGGAATTGTGGCTTATTACATGAAGAGGCTGAAAGTGCTCTAGTTAAGAAAACTGTTGACGAGAATGATAGTAATAATAAAACCAAAACCCAAGAGTTGAGTATTGTTCATGAAACTCACAATGTTGGAGAAAAAGGGGAAACAGAATCAGAACCTACATCTCACCTGCATGGAAAAGCAAGTCACGGAAGCCCTGTAGTTGACGGTAAACGTGAGATGCATCTTGCAGCTGCTGGTGTTACCTCATCATCATTTGAAACTACAAACGAAAATTGTGATCAGACTCGCCAAGGTGTTGTTTGTAAACCTACTAATGTAATAGCTGATCCTGCAATCTCCAAACCATCAAATCTCGAAGCATTAACATCAACCCCATTCCAGCACCTTCAGTTTCCCGATAATAAAGAATTATTATCTTCTCCAAGTTTACCACAGCCACCATCCCACCATTCCTTTTCTGCATTTTCCTATGCTCCAACTACAGTATCTGCACAACCACTCTTCAACACAGCATGTGTTCAAAATTTCCCCCCTTACCAGCCTCCATTGCGTCTTCCACAGTCTCATTTTCGTGCACCTTTTAACAATTCTTGGAATTCGCACCTGCCAGCTAAACCACCACCAAATTCATCATATCCTGTTGTTCATAATGCAGTTGGGAACAGTGCTCTTCGACCATATGGTGCAACTCCATCACAGTTTCAACAGAGTATGCCGCTGCAAGGGAATGGCTTTATTATTCCTCACAATTCTGTATTGCCGAGTAGTTCTCAGGTTGGCCAACTTCCGGCATATGGGCATACTTGGCCAAGCAAGAATGTTGGTGATACTCTACCTCATGGTGAACTTCCTATTCCATCTTCCAAGAGTTATCCTTACATGCAACAGCTCCCCTGTGGTCTCCCCAATCACACTGGGGCTGCTAACGCATCAGTATACTCTTCTGATGTTCTTCTAGACAGGAACCAGAAACCCAGTTTGCCTGATTTTGGTGGATCTAGATTATCAAGTTACTTCAATCCTTATGCGTCTAACTTTGAGCAGCCACTAGCCTCTAAGATCAGGTCAAATGCTCCCATAGAAGGAAAGGAAATTCTTTCTAGTGACAGAAATGGTGCTCCTTTTAGTCTGAACAATGTACGAGCTGATGGACATCCAGCGGAAAGCCTTGGATTACAAAATACTCTACCAAACTCTGCCCCATATGATCCACTATTTGACAGCATTGAGCCATCTACAAATTCATTGCAAAAACCTGGTCCTGTCCAAAATAGCGAAACAACTTTGGACTCAAATGTCATGAAAAAGCCTAGCAGATGGAGCAAAAATGCATTGGATGTTGAAGAAAACAACACACATAAAGGTGATGGAGCTAGTGGTATTGCTGATGCATCAGCAGGCAATGATGAATGTGGCGAGACAGCAGATGGGGAAGTCGGGGCAGTTGAAAACATAAGTCCAAGTGATTCAAACGATGTAGCAGACATGGTCGATGGAGAAATAGAGATTGATAATGTTGAAACAAGTAAAAAGAGCAAGGACTCCAGAGCTATCAAACTTTTCAAGAAAGCAATAGCTGATTTTGTGAAGGAGCTTTTAAAACCATCGTGGCGTCAAGGCAATATGAGCAAGGAGGTTTTCAAGACCATTGTCAAGAAAACTGTTGAGAAGGTGTCCGGAGCCATGAAGAATCGTAAAATGCCGAAGTCTCAGGAAAAGATTGACCACTATGTTGACTCTTCACAAAAGAAATTGACGCAGCTGGTGATGGTAAGTCCTCTTTTTTGCCTGCTTTATTCCTTTGATGGTGTTTTGCATCCAAAATATTAAAGGAAAGTATTCCAGGACTGTCATGGGTTAGTAGGATAGCAGAGTGGATTGTGTCTAGAGCCAACAAAATGGGTCGAAACCCGCGGGCTGGCCCGTTTAAACCCATTTATTGGTGGGTTAGGGTTGTAAATTTCTGACCCATTTAGTTTCCGAGTTTCGCAGGTCAACCCACTCGGGTTGCAGGTTTAAGTGGGTTGGCCCAACGGGTTGCGGGTTGGCATGTGGGCCAATATACATTTCTATTGAAAGGCTACATTTGCCCTTGTTTCTCGCATTTCCGTGCAACATAGGATAAAGGTTATGGTTTGTTTTAAGATTTGAAAATAGATGTTTGCAGAATGGTCAGCTAGAATTTACTTAGATGTAGGTGTGTACCTGTCTTGTACATGTGACTATTTTTAACATCAGCATGGGGGAGGGGTTATTACACCTTTCTGACAATGCGAGGTTTGCAGGGCTATGTTGATAAATATGTGAAAGCATGAATACCAACCGTTGTGACATTCACAGTTGAACAGTTGAGGATATTGAAAATGTTGCCTGCAGCTGTTCTACCCGGCTATTTAAAAAAGAATATGATATTTCACCTTTGAAAATATAGCTGGCACTTGTGTCTTGGCTTTCTATTGATAACGGTACACTGGCAAGCAAACCTATGTGTGGCAGCGATGAGAGGGTGAAGTTATTATGTCTTATATACAGATGTTGTTGGGAGTAAATAGAATGCAAGTGTTGTGGTAGACTGGTAGTGTTGTGTATTGAGCTAGTGTTTCACGATTTGCGGCACAAGATAATGGGTCCACCTTTTTCACGGCTACATATATAGGACCCAAAATATCTTGCACCATTTGTATGTAATTTGCTACTTGATTTTTAATGTATTTGTGTCTTCTTAAATCAATGTTTCAGAATACGTATATGTACATAATCTTTAATTGGCTTTTGATCGTCTTGTCAACCTGTATGTGTTGAGTTTTTTTTCCCGTGACAGCCTCACCTTCAAACACTGGTAGTTGATTTGTTTGGTATGATAGTAATTAATGGTGTTACGTGCACATTGGATGCCTATGCTTGGTTTGGCATTTCATTAATAAGCTTAAGGAATGTTGGTTATGTTAATGTATTACATTCTACATACTCCGAAGTCCGAATTACATAAGGAGCCATCCGCAGTTTTACGGCAAAAGAAGTAATCTCCATCCATCCTAAAGGTAAATAGGTAGAATGATGGATAAAGTGAGATGAAAATTTAAACAAGTTCAATTTAGGAAAACCATCATATTTTTAGACAGTTCAAAAAGAAAACTATATCTTATAGAATGAGATGTAGGATATGTGATGGTTTTACTAAAAAAATCGATTTAAGAGAAAAGTAGATGTGTGCATGGTAGTCAGCTAGAATAACTGAATAAGTAGAAGTATTCTACCATTTGCTTCCAACTTTCAAGTGTTCGCAAGCTACTACCTCCCAACTCCCAAGTAGATTTTAGAGAAAAGTAATTTTTTTGTCCCAAGTAAATGATCTCGTTCATTACTTCATTGTGCTTCGGTCAATATAAGATTTTAACTTATGTGTTCAACTTTTACCAATTTTGATTTTTCTTTTTTTAATTTTATTAGACTTTTAATGATATTTCTAAAAGTGTAAATGTTATTTAATAAAGTAATCTTATTTTTTTGAGGGAAAATAATAAGACAATGATTAGTTAACTTTATAGTGAGTTAAACTTTTACTCGGGACAGAGTATCATCGTAAATTGTTTAAGTATTTGGAAAAATTGAAAATAATAATCCCAACTATTGTCGGTCCGCTGACAATAATCCCAACTATTGATTATTTTTGTATAATCCCAACTATATAGACTGTCCGCCAATAATGGTCCGTGACTAGATATTACCTCTATAAAAAGTGAATTTTAAATAGAAATTAAGCGTAAAAATTAAAAGTTGAGATTATTTATAGGGATTACTTGCTATATCTCATCCCATCCACTTTAGAAACTACAAGAATTTATTCATAGGGACCATTATTGGCGGAAGGTCCCTAAAGTTGGGATTATTCAGGAATAATCAATAGTTGGGATTATTATGAGCGGACCGCCAATAGTTGGGATTATTACAATCAATTTTTCCTAAGTATTTTAGGGGAAATTTTCTGAAATAAGAGTAAAAATGTACTGGAATTCCAAAATATAACTGTCATGTTTTTTATTGTTTAAATATGAGTAATTACTGTCAAGTTTAGAATATATTGACGTGTTTAAGGTTTGGTAATGTCAAAACATGATAATAATTATTCCTATTTTGAAAAAAGTCTATTTTGAAATTCATAAACTATTTTACATATTTTTTATGACATTTTTAGAGGATATGCCGGAATAAGTCTCCAACTATATATCCAGATAGGACTGATTTAGTCCCATATTTTCTCTTGGGCGTATTTTGTAATTTTAGGGGTTTTCCCTTAAATATTACTCCCACCGTCCCTAAATTATCTTCCAACGTATATTTGACACATGGATTAAGATAGTGAATACTGTGTGGGGATACTATTATGGAATATTTGGTTAAAATTCATGCAATATTCATGTTTGGACTTTGTGTTTGAAAATGATTTTGAGATTATTTTAGTGAGATTACGAATTAAAGTACTCCGTAATATATATTTTGTACGAAGTAGTTTCTATGTCTTTTGTATGAAAATGTAATATGTAGTATGTTTAAAATATATGTGAGTTAGTTACTCTGAAAAGTGTACTTTTTTACGTGTTATGCCTTGATGGCTCAACAAATCTCTGATATGGATCAAAAGCTTTGTGAAAACTACATATATTACATAGTGTGCTATTTTTTACACCACTCAAATAACATGGAGTTGTAGAATCTCTATCCCCAAGCATGTCAAATTTAGCTAGATAAACAATATACTATCGGATGAATGGAGACAAAATTTTCTTAGAATGAACAAATTGGACAATGCATTACTTAATTAGTACATTATTTACCTTAATATTATTTGGTTATAATATATCACTAATATGACTTGCATTTTTTTTGTTAGTCATATTGTTCTTATGTGGGTTGTGGCAACACAAATTCATTTGGATCACTAAAGACAATTGGAGAAAATTTAGTTGGTTGTGGATTAGACAATAATACTATATATGAGTATGACATGGTGAGAAAGGAGTAGACGCCATAAAATCTAACACATGTAAATGAGATGACAAATGTTGTCACAATCGAAACACATTCGGGTGTTGAGGGTGATAATGACGAGGACACAAAAACTGAAGGTGACGGTGATAATGAAGATCAAAATGTGATTGACAAAGTGATCAGATAGATGAGATGGTGAAAGATCTCAAGGACCATTGTAGTGCACAACTAATAGCCTAATATTAAATTAGGAATACTCTGTATCTTTGGAAACTCTTATTATTATAAATATATCTGTCAGGTACCCTATCGGGTAACCTTTCCCATTATTTCACATGGTATCAAGAGCCTAATTTTTTCTTCTCTCTTTTCTCTAAACCCTCGATTCTCTTTCCCCTACGCCATGACTTCGGCCGCAGGTTCCTCCATCGATAATCTGCACTCCTCTTCCGAAATTTCCTTTTCTTCCATGGAAGCCTCCACCATTGCTTCCACTTCCTCGACTACGGCGCCAGCATCCGCTACCTTTACCGACGCGGCCGTAGTTATCACTAGCGCCCCTGTCACCATGACTGAGCCGCAGCAGGTGACTTCTTCTCAGACGGGATCGGTTGTGCACCCTGCTTCTTCTCCATTCATTCCCGATGTTCCTGGTGCGTATTCCCTTTTTCAGACCATCCCTTCGGTGTTTCCATGGCAGCCACCAGTCGTACCACAGATTCCCGGCAGCCTCTTCTCGACCCCAGTTTCTGCTGCCGCACAACAGCCCCACTCCGGTCCAGGGTATTTTGGTTCGACGTTTTCTGGTGCACCCGGTTTATCAAGTCCCCAATGGCCGCAGTCACTCAATCAATCTCCCCGGCCAACAATGTTACTCAAATTGTTACAATCAAGCTTAAGGCGGTGGAAGACTACATCACATGGCGTACTCAATTTCAATCTTTCCTAGTCTCTCAAGGTGTGTTTAGCTTCTTGGATGGTTCCACACGGGTACCTCCGATGTACACGATTGATTTTAATAACCGCCAAAACACTAAAATTGATTATTATCATTAGCTACGGGTTGATCAAACAATTCGTTCTTGGATTTTTGCTAATCTTACCCGTGATGTATTAATTGATGTACATGAACTTAAACATTCCTTTGAGATATGTGAACGATTGCAAAATCGATTCTGGTCTGCTAGTCTGGCTAGGTCTATGACACTTAGACGTCTGTTGTCTAATATGAAAAAGAAGGAAAATCAGTCTATGAATTTAAGGGAAATTCATTTATTAGTTGGTGAGCTGGCTGCAATAAATTCCCATGTGTTCGATAAAGAAGTCCTTCAGACCACCCTCATGGGGCTCGGGCTAGAATATGAATCCACTATGGGCACTATTTCCCTTTTTCCTAACAATTTTCCGCCAGACATTCTTCATCGGAGTCTGTTAGAGGCCGAACAGCGGGTTCTTTATATTCACCAACAGACCGCTCCACCCGCTTACCAAGCCTTTGGTGTCCAAGAAAGAGGTGTCGCACCATGTGGCGGTTGCGGTAGCCGCGACAGAGGAGGCCGCGGTAGGGTAGGCCGCGGCAGAGGTTGCGGGCCTAACAATTACGGCCAGCAGCAACAGATCTTCGGCCAAGGGCAGCAGGGCTTCAGGGGCAGCAGTCGGGACCTCTTCACCACCAGCAGGGATTCGGTCAGCAGCCTAGAGCGCAGAAGCAACTGAGACCTCCAAATGCAGGTGCCATAAGTAATTCTGTTTTGTCCACTTTAAATGCTAATGCTATATTATTTTGTGGTACTAATGTTAAGTCTGCAGGCTCTCCATCTGCTGAGGGAATTCTTGGGGCAATTCCCCCACCTGTTGTATGTCAAATCTGTTTTTCTGCAGGTTATTCTGCCCTCAATTGTCCTTCCCGATTCTCTCAACCTTCCGCACCCACACTCTTCACTGGTCAAGCTAATGAAGCCTGTGGTATCTCGATATTGGTGCCTCTGCTCATATGACACCCTCCGAAGGTATTTTGACAAATAAATCTACTTATTCTGGTTCAACTATTGTTAGTGTTGCTAATGGTGCTCATCTTCCCATAAAACATGTTGGTGATATTTCTTTAAAATCTTCTGTGCCGCCCGCTGCTATTAAAATCTGTTTCTCATGTGCCTAATATTAAATTCAATTCAATTTCTATTCAAAAAATGTGTGCTGATAATAACTGTGTTGCTATTTTGGACAAAAATTCATTTTCTGTCAAGGACAAAATTTCGGGGGCGGTTCTTCTTCGGGCAACAACTAATGGCCATCTCTACCCTCTCAGCCTGAGTCCACCATCTAGTCTAGCTAACTTCTGTCCTCACCACTGGCACTGTGTGGCATTGTAGATTAGGTCACTGTGTTGAAAATATTTTACGTCTTTTGAGCACTCAAAAACGCATATGTAATAGCTCTAGTTTTTCTCATGATTGTATTTCTTTCCGGTTAGGCAAGTCTTAACGATTACCTTTTTCAGATGCTTATCACAATACTTCTTCTCCTTTGGAATTAATTCATTCTGATGTGTGGCAATCTCTTGTTCTATCTAATTTGGGGTTTAAATACTACGTCTGTTTTATTGATGATTTTTCTCGCTTTACGTGGATTTATCCATTGCGTGCCAACACCAAAGTTTTTGATCAGTTTAAAATTTTTAAATCTTTAGTTGAAAATCTCTTCAACTCTAGAATTAAAATTTTTCAAAGTGATGGAGGGGGTGAATTTGTTAATTCTAATATGCAGCAATTTTTTAATTCTCATGGAATTTATTTTCAAAAATCATGTCCCACACTCCTCAACAAAATGGGGTTGATGAGCGTAAACATCTACTTGAACTTACTAGGACCATGCTGATTGAGGCTTCTCTTCCTAGTTATTTTTGGGTTGATGCCATTTTTCGGCTGCATATATTATTAATAGATTGCCCACTCCAACACTTTCTGGTCTATCTCCTTATGAAAAATTATTTCAAAAATCCCCTGATTATACCTTTTTACGTGTATTTGGTTGTGCTTGTTTTCCAAATATTTCTGCCACTTCTTCTAATAAACTTTCTTCTCGGTCCATTCAATGTGTTTTTCTGGGATATGCATCTGGTTATAAATGCTATCGTTGTCTTGATTCTATTACTGGTAAAATTTACATTAGCCCACATGTGCGTTTTCACGAAAATGTTTTTCCTTTCACCGCTTTGATCTCCTCTGCGTCTGCCTCCTCCTCCCCATCAGACCAATCTAACACACCATCCCTACCTTTATCTTCCTGGAGTAAATTTTCTTCCATCCCATATACTACCTCTCGGCCACCAGTACTCCATGTACTTGTCCAGCCATGCAGCGAATCCCAAACACTTTGCCATAAGTTATCTGCTGATTCACCTACTGTGTGTAACCCATCAGCTTGTTCCAGCATCCCTCCCAACTCAATTCCCTTCTCCCTTGAGTCAACCCAGCCATCCACACCACCCAACAACCACACTGCCGACCAGCCCACCAGGTCCAGTCCGCCGGACACTCCCAGTCCACCGACGGCCACCAGCCCACCTTCTATGATTAATCATCCAAACAGCCAGCCATCTGCAATTTCCTTGACCTCAGACAGCAACCACGGCTCTGTACCTGGGACTGAACCGCCACCTATTAATGTTCACCCGATGCGGCGAAGCAAACTCGGGCAAAATCCGGAATTTTTAAACCCAAATCCATTTTTAATTTGAATACGATTGTTATTTCAGCAGACCCAACTTGTTTTTCTGAGGCAAATAAATAGTTGATATGGCGTCAGGCTATGACGGAGGAATTTAATGCACTTATTGCTAACCACACATGGGATTTAGTACCATATAGTAATTCTAAAAATATTGTTGGATCTAAGTGGATTTATAAGACAAAATATTTATCTGATGGTTCTATTGAGCGCCACAAAGCACGTTTAGTTGCTCAGGGTTTTAATCAACAGGCTGGTGTGGATTTTTGTGAAACATTTAGCCCCGTCATTAAACCCACCACTGTTCGTACTGTTCTTACTTTAGCAATTTCTTTTGGGTGGGTTATGCGTCAGCTAGTTGTTAAAAATGCTTTCCTTCATGGTCATCTGACAGAAGAGGTCTATATGCTTCAGCTGCGGGGTTTTATTCACCCTCAATATCCTCATCATTTGTATCGTCTTCGTACGGCTATTTATGACCTTAAACAGGCTCCACGGGCATGGTTTCATAAGTTCAGCAGTTTCCTGCTTTCTCATAATTTTTTATGTAGTAAGTCGGATAACTCTGTTTATTTATCGCCAGGGTCCTTCCGTTATTTATTTATTTATTTATTTATTTATTTATTGTTATATGTGGATGACATTATTATTACCAATAATTCCTCTTCTATTGTCACCACATTTATTCACCTTATTGCTCGACACTTTGCAATGAAAGACTTTGGTGATCTTCATTATTTTCTTGGCATTCAGGCCACTCGTAATAGTAAAGGTCTATTTCTTTCTCAACATAAATATGTTTCTGAGCTTCTATCCCGGTTTCATTTACACACTGTTAAGTCCGTTCGTACTCCTCTTGCGTCTCGTACTTCTTTATCTCTCACTGATGGCGAGTTACTTGCAAATGCGACTGAGTATCGCAGCATGGTAGGTGCATTACGATATTTAACTTTGACAAGACCTGATATTACTTATGCAGTGCATTTAGTTTCTCAGTTTATGCATGCCCCACGTACCACTCACCTTTTTGCTGTCAAGAGGATTTTTAGATATTTGCAGGGAACCATTGATCATGGTCTATGCTTAAGCCTACATCTAAGGTGACTTGCATTATTGCATACTCAGATGCAGATTGAGCCGGGTGTCCCAATACTTCTCGCTCCACCACTGGTTATGTGCTGTTTTTCTGGGGCCCAATCTTGTGTCTTGGAAATCCAAGAAGCAACTCACTGTCTCCAAATCCTCTACAGAAGTAGAGTATCGTGCTATTGCCTACACGGTGCAGGATACACTCCATATTCGGGCCATTCTGTTTGAGCTTGGCTTGCCTGTCACGGCACCGGTACGTTTGTTTTGTGACAACATCTCTGCTTCATACTTGACAGCGAATCTTGTTCAACATGCTCGGAGTAAGCATATTCAGATTGATTATCACTTTGTTCGTGAACGCGTGGCTCATGGTGATCTTGTGGTTAACTATGTGCCTACTAGTCTTCAGCTGGCGGATATATTTACTAAGAGTCTTTCTAGTCAGCAATTTCATTTTTTAAAAGACAACCTGCGCGTTGTATCTCCCGCACAGTTTGAGGGGGTGTATTAGCCTAATATTAAATTAGGAATACTTTGTATCTTTAGAAACTCTTATTATTATAAATATATCTGACAGGTACCTTATTGGGTAACCTTTCCCATTTTTTCACAACCACACATTATATTTTTTAAAGTTAATCACAAGTCATAGAACTATCATTATATCTCGAGTGTAATACACAAAGCTATCTACCGTGATAACACTTTATAATGTGAAAGTCAAGAATAACTTGAGCGACACAAGTTTCACATATTGGTTGGAAGTATTACATGACATGCTTCATGACGGAAATGAATTTCTAAAGTTAAACTATTGCACGAATAAGCTAAATGATGAAAAAATTATCTTAGTCAAACTATTTGAATGAAGTTGGAGGTGTGAGAATGGATCTTAGGTGCTGTTCTGTTCGTCTTATTCTTATTACTTATTGCTTATTCTTATTTTATTCAGATCAGATCAGATCAGATCAGAAAAATTCAGATCAGATCAGATCAGAAAGATTCAGATCAGATCAGATCAGATCAGAAAGATTCAGATCAGATCAGAAAGATTCAGATCAGATCAGACCAGATCAGAAGCATTCAGATCAGATCAGAAACATTCAGATCATATCAGATCAGAAAAGTTCAAACATGATTTATCACTTTTATTATTATATTAAATATTAATTATTGTTATTAATATTGTTATTACTATTATGATTATTATTATATAATTATTATTAATAATTTTAA